CTTTACATGACAGCACGTGGTGACGGTAGGTGTCGCCCGAGTCGCGCCAAGAGAAAACGTCCATCAAACCTGTCACACAAAGAAACACGAGAGCCAGGCCAGTGACATTGCATCACGTGTCACCAAAGCCACACGGACACATCGTAAGGCCCGCTCGCACCACCGAACAGCAGTCAGTAGTCACCAAACAAATCACTGACCGAACAGTCACCAGCACCCATTCGTAACGAATCGCTGTGCTAATGGCCGTCAAGCCTGGCCTCTTGGCCCGCGGCGTCAAGAGCCTATTTCGCGGACCGTCACGGTGCGACCAAAAAGGTGGCACGTGCGGGGTTTGAACTCGAGCCTTCTAATCACCGCCCCTCTCCACCTGCCGAGCCCTGAACCGCTCCGGTCCCCAGCGCATCCATGCAGCAACGTGCCAGCGGTGCCGGCATCGGACTCTGCCCAGATATTACGGCTAAACAAACTGAGACCGGCTGGGGCCTCGCTCTGGGTAAATGATGGGCCCGGGGGGGGGGGGGGGGGGGAGCCGAGGGATCGACAACACAACGACTCCCAAAAGGGGCGAGGCTTAACGGACTAAGCTCACTTCATTTCGACAGACCGCATTTCTATCGTTTGTTTCATATCATTCGTCAAATAGTACTTCCCATACAATACGCTGTTTTGGCGGAATGGTTATCACGCACAGAACACTACGCTCAAGGAAGGGACGCGCACTACAATGTTTGATTCTCCCTTCAACTTGAATAATATGCCAGCAAACTACAAATATTGTGAGTCCCAAACCGGCACCGGGGTTCGAATGAACATTGGGAGGAGCAGGACCTTCCAAAAAATAACCGAAACAAAACCCCTGGCGCACGGTCTCGGATGCTGTCCCATGTGCCACATCGCCCCGCTAATGGCTGACTGATGGCTAGTGTGGCTCACGGCTAATGGTTGCAGTATTGGAGGCAACTCCGCCCCCCCCCCCCCCCCCCAGCAAAGGTTTGAGCGACCCGATTAAGGACCTCATTGATGACCCCATTGAGGACCCCATTGCGGGGTTGATCATCGGACGGCCGCTGACATCAGCAGCCCCTTCACTCTTTCGTGAGGTTCATGTCGCTGACGTCAGATGACGGCATCACGTCCGGTGCGTGGCAGCAGAGATTTACTGGTTTGTTCGCCTGCTGATACCGTATCATATCAGAGTATCCGGCAAACAACACACAGATCACATGAACGACCCCACTACACAGAGGCTGAGCAGCTAAAATCTGCGATTAGCGCACCTGAACTGGCACAAAAAAGCATGGCCGCGCGCTCCAACAGCTATTCTTTGCGTGTCATGAGCACAGCTCGTGGCCCGTTAGCGACTTTGCCCGGCACGCGTGACGCGGCAGAGCAACCCCACATGGCACGCGTGAAGTGGCAGAGCAACCCCACACGGCACGCGTGAAGCGGCAGAGCAACCCCACACGGCACGCGTGACGCGGCAGAGCAACCCCACACGGCACGCGTGAAGTGCCAGAGCAACCCCACACGGCACGCGTGAAGCGGCAGAGCAACCCCACACGGCACGCGTGAAGTGGCAGAGCAACCCCACACGGCACGCGTGAAGCGGCAGAGCAACCCCACACGGCACGCGTGACGCGGCAGAGCAACCCCACACGGCACGCGTGAAGTGGCAGAGCAACCCCACACGGCACGCGTGAAGCGGCAGAGCAACCCCACACGGCACGCGTGACGCGGCAGAGCAACCCCACACGGCACGCGTGAAGTGGCAGGGCAACCCCACACGGCACGCGTGACGCGGCAGAGCAACCCCATGCTGAAAGCGTGGAGCGGCAGAGCAACCCCATACGCCTACAGACGTCGCCACCCATGTGCGGAGTTCCACGTTCTTTTAATCAATAGCGTTTCCAGTTATCACCCTTGCCAATTCGCCACCCGCATACTGCATGATCCTGTTTTGGTACACAGCGTGCCGACCCAGCCACCGGCTCTACGTCTACAGTTCTGGACGACCCGAGAACGAGAGCGAGGGAACGAGAGAGTAAGGCAGAGAGAGTAGGAGAGAGTACGAGAGAGTAGGAGAGAGAGAGAGAGAGAGAGAGAGAGAGAGAGAGAGAGAGAGAGAGAGAGAGAGAGAGAGAGAGAGACGAGAGAGAGAGAGAGAGAGAGAGAGAGAGAGAGAGATACGAGAGAGAGAGAGAGAGAGAGAGAGAGAGAGAGAGAGAGAGAGAGAGAGACAGAGAGAGAGAGATAGAGAGAGAGAAGAGAGAGACAGAGAGAGACAGAGAGAGAGAGAGAGAGAAGAGACAAGAGAGAGAGAGAGAGACAGAGAGAGAGACAGAGAGAGAGAGAGAGAGAGAGAGAGAGAGACAGAGACAGAGACAGAGAGAGAGAGAGAGAGAGAGAGAGAGAAGAGAGAGAGACAGAGAGAGACAGAGAGAGAGAGACAGAGACAGAGACAGACAGAGACAGAGCAAGACAGAGCAGAAACAGGACAGAGACAGAGACAGAGACAGAGACAGAGACAGAGACAGAGACAGAGACATAGACAGAGACGAGACAGAGACAGAGACAGAGCAAGCAGAGACAGAGACAGAGACAGAGACAGAGACAGAGACAGAGACAAGACAGATACAGAGACAGGACAAGCCAGAGACAGAGAAGAGACAGAGACAGAGACAAGACAGAGACAGAGACGAGACATAAGACAGAGCATGATAACATAGCATAAGACAGAGACAGAGACAAGACATATACAGAGACAGATACAGAGAAGAGACAAGACAGAGACGAGAACAGAGAGAGAGAGAGAAGAGAGAAGAGAGAGAGAGAGAGAGGAGAAGAGGAGAATAGAGCGAGAGAGAGAGAGAGAGAGAGATAGCGGAGAGAGAGAGAGAGCGAGAGAGAGAGAGAGAGAGAGAGAGAGAGAGCGGCAGAGTCGCACACGCCGCAGCATACGGGACAGCATTCCGACTCATCTGATGCTGAGCTCCGGGGAAAGGGGCGGGGCTGGCGCGGAACAGAGCTCTCGGCCGAACTATGATGCTAACAGCTTTGCAGTTCTAATAATAATACTAATGATGACTGAGCTCAGCGTCCCGCCAGCTGCCATGGCCCTTTTGAGGCGGGATGCCCTAGTTAGTTGCCATGCCGAGTGGCGCAGTAGTGGCGTGGCCAGGATTCGAACCCAGGACCCACAGGTCCGCCGCCGAGCACCCCAACCACTTTACCCCACCTTCCCAGCCTCGCAGCTGCACGATGGTCAAGCCGTTACATCGTATGAAAAAGTTATTTCATGAAATATCACTGGCGAATAAAGAACAAAGACCACGTGAAATATCAGCCTTCGTACACCACATACACCTGCGCAGTCAAACCTGGCGTACACCACATACACCTGCGCAGTCACACCTGGTGTACACCACATACACCTGCGCAGTCACACCTGGCGTACACCACATACACCTGCGCAGTCACGCCTGGCGTACACCACATACATCTGCGCAGTCACACCTGGCGTACACCACATACACCTGCGCAGTCACACCTGGTGTACACCAGATACACCTACGCAGTCACACCTGGTGTACACCACATACACCTGCGCAGTCACACCTGGTGTACACCACATACATCTGCGCAGTCACACCTGGTGTACACCACATACACCTGCGCAGTCACACCTGGTGTACACCACATACGCCTGCGCAGTCACACCTGGTGTACACCACGTACACCTGCGCAGTCACACCTGGCGTACACCACATACACCTGCGCAGTCACACCTGGTGTACACCACATACACCTGCGCGGTCACACCTGGCGTACACCACATACACCTGCGCAGTCACACCTGGTGTACACCACATGCACCTGCGCAGTCACACCTGGTGTACGGTAAAAAACGAAACCTGCGCCCAGGACTTGACACGGAGCTACATGAGTTTCAGCAGACCAAAACCCTCCCGGCTGAACCCCCCAGGCTGGAGGAATAGGCTTGATTGAGCCCGCGTCCCAGCACATCCCGCGGTATCAATTCCCACCAGTTTGTCTCTCCGGTCTCTACAGTTTTCAGTTCTGCAACGACTTTTCCTGTCGCCCCCCACCCCTTCCTTCGTCCTTCTGTCCTTAGTTCTTATCATTTCGTCTTTTTTTTCTTTTTTTTCGTCTTTCGTCATTTCCCACGAACTTCCTTCATCTTTCATCATTCGTGCATCGTCCCTCTGCCGCCGCCGCACAGCGGTCAGCGGTCCCCGCCGGGACCGGCCACCTCGGCAACAGCAGACCGTTTACAGCGGTGGCGCGGTGGCCGCCGGACGTAATTACGGGGCAGGAGCGCCGCCGGGCGGCGGGCAGAAGCGCCGCCCAAGCCGCTGGGCAGGAGCGTCGCTCAAGCCGCTGGGCAGGAGCGCCGCCCAAGCCGCTGGGCGGTGCGCCCGCTGGCTCTAGAACTTCCCACGCACGCGCCCGGCAGTACACGGCTTCTTTATCCAGCGGGGCTGCCACCACAGGCGAGGCCAGGGGTGCCACGAGGTGGGGAGCGGGCCATGGCTAGGGACAGTTAGTGGGTCACGCCACGAGTCTTGTTGTGAGAGAAGACTCATGTCACGGCTCACGGCTAGTGATGGTTGGTGCGTGCGAGCGACAATACGAGGTCCGAGTAGCGGCCCATATCTATGATCTCCTTTCACCCCCAACTGGTTACGCGTCTCTCATCGGCGCCGACTTCCCCGAGACCATGGCATTCATGCAGCGTGCGAACCACAAGTGTTCCAACCCCTCGCTGGCATGAATCCAATACAGGCAAGGCCGCATAGTTCATTTCTAAGCAGGGACTGACCGTTACTTCGAGACCCACCGCATCGGCCGACACGAAGGGGGTAACAGATAAAACTTCCACGTGGAATACGGATCTCACAGCAAAATAGCTGCCCTCCGTCCATCTCAGCGAAGTCGTTTACGTCCACCTACGCATCCCGCCGGCCGGCTCTACTCACCACGTGCACGCTGGCGGGGTCGCGCAGCCACTGCACGTACATCTCCTCCACGTAGCTGGACGAGGTGCCGTTGATGAAGGGCTCGGCGGCGGCGGCGCTGGTGGCGGCCGGCGGTGGCGGCGCGCTCTTCCAGCGCAGCGCCGCCAGCGACGGCGTCGCAGTCCGGCCCGGCCGCAGCCGCGTCAGCAGCGACGGCACCCGATGCATGGCGGCGTGCCCCTGCCGGACGGCATCGGGTGGTCAGCGCCCGGTGACGGCACCGGATGATCAGCGCCCGGTGACGGCATCGAGTGATTAGCGCCCGGTGACGGCATCGGGTGGTCAGCGCCCGGTGACGGCATCGGGTGGTCAGCGCCCGGTGACGGCGGCGGCGGCTTGCCATTCCGCGGGGAGGATGTGGGATGCTGTTGTTATTCGGCGTAAGGCCGGGCTCAATAATGCACTCGCCAGCCCAGGCCACTTGACGCGGCGATGAAAGGGGCTCAAGAATGTGGCACACGCTGGTGCCCTGCTGTTTGGCGATGCTGGGGGTTAAGCTGGGAGGGGCATGTGAAATGTAGCTTGTGGTGCGAGGAAGCTGTTTGAAATGGTGCTCAGGTAAATATGGGAGTTGTGCTGAATGTGTGCCGAGGGGCAATAGGCCCGTCACAACATTCTGCAACAGAGCAAAAAGGCTGCGAGCAAGCCCTTTAATAGGCTTTGTTCCTCATTTAGCACAAATCCAATATGTGTTTCTTTCTTGTACCAAAATCATATTGAATCGATTGTAAAGACGAGTTCAACATTGTCAGCATTAGATGATAAAGGCACCCATAGCACACATAATGTTACATAAAAGGTACGTACTAACGGATAAGTGTACACAGCTATGTGCATAAAACGTGTGGCTAACATGATTACTGGACATAGAGCACAGACGTGGCCAGTTCAGTAACGCAGAATGCAAGGGTAGAATCCCACGTTCACCACATGATCCCTCACCTTCGCAGAGTTGAACAGAAAACCGGATGTCCCGTACCAGCTCAAAAACAGCTGTTCAGTGGGCGAGAGTTACGATAAGCAGCGACCGGGGCAACACCCACACGCACCGGAACACCGCGGAGTACTGGTGGCGCAACGCCTCCTCTTTCTGGCAACAACTGAGCTACATCTGTCCCATATGCGCAATGTTTAGCGAAAATGTTCTTACATCGTGAAGAAGAAATTCATTAAGTTGTATCGGGTTTAGATAAAAAAATCTTCTTTTTGCAATATAAAACTCAACACTAACGATATAAAAACACCAAAAACACTAAGTGATATCAAAAATTGTACCTTACAAATGACAGGAGCCTTTCATTATTGTCTACAAAAACGGCTTTCATATTTCAATTGTGCCGCTGTGCACCCTAATCCACAGTAACAACAACGTTTGGTTGCCCGTCTTTTCGTTGTGCATTCTGTGACCGCGTTGTTATAGGTATAGGGGTGTCATAAGCACAAACATGCGATATATTTATTATGTGTGCCAAATTAAGCAGTATGGTTAAAACAATGAACTATATTGGAGCCATAATTAACCGCCACCACCAATATTGTCCAAGTTCGGGAGCTGTACGTAATCGGTACAAGGGTAAACATTGATGTAAGTTGGTGTGTGTGCCCTTGCCCTACCATTCTGCAAAGAGTCCATCCACTGCAGCAGATGCTTATTATAAATTTGGGCTAAACTTGGTTCTGGTTTCCAGCAAATTCAGGCAGAGTCAAATTGAGCTTATTTTTCAAATTAATTTTGTGTTAAAAATGTGTTTTGAGTGTTTTTACCTGAACTTACCTGGCAAAACTATTCCCTGAGACACTAAATCTTCATGAGTTGTGAAAATGGTGGCAATTATGCACCAAACTCTTAGCAGTTAGGCCTATATGTGCTGAAATGTATTGAAATATAATCAATACAAATGCACTGCACATACCTACACTGAAATTCTTGCAGCAATTGAGATAACTGCTATGGCTGAAATATTAAGTGTAGTTTTGTAGTCTTTTTGTTCTAGTCAGGCCCTATCCTGCAGAATCTGCAGGACCCCGAATTCCTGACAGGTTGTAGTAAGGCTTTTTATATGTTTTCAGTTCTGGGTGGAGTGAAAATCAATTTTAGAACCAATTATTATTATGGTGAGGTATAGTTTAAGTGATGATGTTTATTAAAATGTTCATGAGAGTCAGGTTAGAATCAGGTTTATTAACCCAGTCATCATCAGCTAGTGGGGTCAGATGTACTTTAAGGCAGCAGGATATACATACCCAGCTGATATAGCATAACATGACAGCTGGGGGATATGTCAAACAGGTTATGTTTGGGGCATTCATGGAATCTTATGTATACTCATTATTATAACTCTCCTCTGACTATATCAATATTGTTCTTTACAGCAGGCTTGTAGCATTATTATAACTCTCCTCTGGCTATATAAATATTGTTCATTGCAAGTCTTGTAGCCTTACCAAACTCCCATTGGATGCAGCAGCATTCCAAAAAACAGGCAAATCCTTGTGTAATCTTCATTGTTTTTATCCTGACTGGGACAGTTATGCATTCATTAGCAACTATTTATAGATATTGGCATATATTCATATATATTAGATTTTGCCAGTAACTATAATGTTGGCAATATTTATTTATTAGTAAAATATTTTCAGTCAATTGTATGTGTGCCTGTGCATAAGAAACAGCTCAGCCCACTGCTTGGCACCCTGTGCCTGAGTGTGGGAGTTGTATGGAACAAGGCTGGAGAGGCACTAGAGTTGCCAGGGGCTGCAGACACATGCAGTGTACCTGGATCACTGCCATCCTGCTCTGGAGCTAGGCAATAATGAAAATGTCTCCTCACAGAACAGTCTCATGGTTATCCTTACCATTGTGGATAGGCTTAGAAGGCAGGAAAGGATGTGTCCAATCCAACCCACATGCTTTAACTGATAGCAGTTCTCAAAAATTTGAAACCTGAACTGGCCAGATGTTTATGCTTCAAATACGTATAATTTTTCAGTGGTCATTCATCATGCCATGTTGTTGGTCATTAGGCACATGTCATGCCATTGGTCATTTTGTCATGCCATTGGTAATTGTGTCATGGTCTTTGGTCAGTTTAGCTCTGCACGCTTCTTTCCTGTGGACTGATTAGTGGGTTGATACCTATAGCTGCTGGATGGAACTCTAGTATCTGTTCCTAACCTAACCTAACCTAACCTCTAACCTAACCTAAACCTCTTTTCTGTGGACTGATCAAGGGGTGAATACCCATAGCTGCTGGATGGCACCCTAGCTTCTGTTCCCAACCTGACCTAACCTAACCTCTAACCTAACCTAAACCTCTTTCCTGTGGACTGATCAAGGGGTGAATACTGATAGCTGCTGGATGGAACCCTAACATCTGTTCCCAACCTGACCTAACCTAACCTCTAACCTAACCTAAACCTCTTTCTTGTGGACTGATCAGTGGGTGAATACCCATCACTGCTGGATGGATCTCTAGCATCTGTTCCCAAAAACATCTTCCTGGCTTCATATCACTTATACTAGTATGGGATATTGAAGTACCCAATTGTGTGTTGGAACAATCATGCCAGAGGAGCTGTATTGCCAAGCAATACAGGTCCTCCAAGCAATACACTGGCATGCCTGTTACTATCAGCCTTTCAAGCATACCTTGAAGACCTGTTTAGAAAGCACATATCTAACAGCTACCACATGTGCCCTTTGGGCACTGGCCAGTCACCTTGGTCTTTCTGCTCTAGCATCTTGCACAGCAGCAGCCATGAACAGCTCAATGTGTGACTTGCTGACACCACCTGCTGTTGTGTTCTGTGATCTGCTGGCACCACCTGCTGATGTGCTGTGTGACCTGGTGGTGCCACCTGCTGATGTGCTATGTGACCTGCTGGTGCCACTTGCTGATGTGCTGTGTGATGTGGTACCACCTGCTGACGTGCTGTGTCACCTGCTGGTGTCACCTGCTGATGTGCCACATGACCTGCTGGCACAGCGGCGGCCATGAACAGCGCGATGGTGGACGTGCTATGTGACCTGCTGGGCAGCGAGGAGGACCGCGAGGCGGCGCGCCTGCTGGGAGTCAGCGAGGCGCTCCTCGAGCCGCTGCTGCGCGACCCCAGGCTCCCCGAGGAGGATGACGAGGACGAGGACACGCCAGCAGGGTCGCTCGCGGAGGATGAGGTGGGCGGGGCTCTCACCGGCTGTGGCTGGCAGGGAATGTGGGGCCTCTTGGCAAGGGCCCTTTGCAGTGGACATGGGGCTGCTGAGACAGTGGTGGCGGTTACTCAGTGTGGCAATTTATATGGGCATTATGACGGTTTTTAGAACTCCTAATCTTTGTGATTGATGTCAAAGCTGAAAATTGAGGTGGGAGCTGTGACTTACGCCACTTTGTCTGGAGATCATTGCGGGTTGATGGAGACTAATTTCAGGTGGTTTTGTTCAAGGTAAGGTTCATATTGCCACATTCTTTGGTATCTTTGATGCTGTTTTTGTGTGTTTTAAATTCATGTTTGCTGTTCGCCTATTTACATTGTCATATGTCACCCAAATTTATCGTCTGATAGAGTTTGGTAGCGTTGCCCACTACCCGTTTTCAGTGTAGGCATGTCATATGATGCATGAAACTGTTTTTCGAGACCTTGTACTGTTGATCGTGAGCCTTGCAGAGCCATCTGTTAACTCTTTAAAGCCATGTCAACCCTCCGAAGCTATAGTTTAACTTGTTAAAGGTATGTGGTAGGTGGCATTACCTCGTGGCGATAAATTCGGTGTGATTTAGTTTATGTTGTCTCCTGTTGATGCCCCAGGATTCTGGAGGTCAGCCATCTCCGTCATCAGAGGCTCCCAGGTCATCTCAAGAATCTGAGCTGGCCATGTTGTACCGGTTGCTGGATCCAACTCATGTGACACAGCCGACCCCACCGTCACGACCATCAGAATCATCACACTCATCACAGCCATCAGAATCATCACACTCACCACAGCCATCACAGTCGTCAAAACCATCCGAGGACGCCCGACCACCCGGACGCCCCGGGCCCTCCCATGCGCCCCACCCGTCTTTGGCTGGCTCACTCCCATCACCCCTACCGCGTCAACGGCCCCGGCCGTCCGGCGCTGTCGACTCGCCCCAGCGAGCTCAACAGCGCGACTCAGCCGGCACTGCGGCGCTGCTGACTCGGCGGACTCGGCCTCCACGGAACCTGACCTTTCGACACTGGGTCGAGCCCGGCCAGAGGGCGAAAATGGGCCTGAAGCGCCCCTGGCGCGAGGATGGCGGAACCTCTGAGCCCGACGCCAGGGGCAAACCCTCCAGGAAGTGAGTGATGACGAGGAGGGCCGCGACCGTGGCGTCAGATGACGTCACTGGCATCGCTGGTATGACGTCACCAGCGTCGCCCTGCTCCGCGGCGGCGCGGCCGCCCGTCTCTTCACCAACCGTTGCATGACGCCGTCCAATTAGTAACACTGGTCGCAAAATTCGTGTTCCACCCCTTCCACGGGTATTCCTCCAGTTCAGGGCAATGAAGTGGCCGCACTGATATACGATCTGTTTAAAAACCTGGAGATAGCATAACGCGTTAAGCATCGATGCTTATTTGGGGGAGGGAATGGCAAAATGGTGACAAACCGATCACAAGGGCTTTACGCGCCTTTACGTGACGCTGTGGCGCTGAATTTGGCCGTCACTCAGCACGGCCCGCGCCCCGTGCGTGCCGTCACCGCTGGCGGCGCGTGCTCCGCAGACCGCGGCCTTACGACCGGTTCTTCTTCCGCAACATGCTGACGGATTTGAGCGAGCTCGATTTCTGGCACCAGTTCCACGTCTCCAAGACGACGGTGCAGGTGGGTGGCGGCCGCGCTGGGCGGCGGCGCTGACGTCACGTCGCGGTGGGGTGTTCAGGAGCGGGACTGCGAGAATGTGTGAGAACCCCGTGTCGCGCTGCGCCGCGTGACTGTTGACGTGCATCGTGTTGCATCCTGGGGGCCTGTCCAGTTGCGTCCTGCTTTAGTTTTGGTGTCTGTTGAGTTGCATCTTCATGCAGCTCTGGTACCTTCAACCTGCGCCCTGCGGTTCCTCTTCATGTAGCTCTGGTACCTTCAACCTGCGCTCTGTGGTTCCTCTTCATGTAGCTCTGGTACCTTCAACCTGCGCCCTGTGGTTCCTCTTCATGTAGCTCTGGTATCTTCAACCTGCGCCCTGTGGTTCCTCTTGCGCTTGTTGAGTTGCCCTCGAATGTTTCTCCTGTACCTTGTTGAGATGTACTCCTCTATTTTATCGTGACCGTGTAGTTGCAGCCTGCTACGTCTCGGGTACGGGATGTCCCATGTCCCGCTGATGCTCCTCGTTCTGCCTTGTCTGACTCCTTGTCCTGTCTTCGGGCAGCCGTGTGTTATCCCCGGTTGCACGTGTCGTACCTCCGTGGACCCGTCGTGTTGGATATCCGTCACACTGTTGTGTATCTAGCACATTGCTGTCTCTCGCACGTGGCTGTGTCTCTGCTACACTGCCGTATCCAGGATACGTTGTTGTTGTATCTGGTGCGTGGCTTATCTCCTCTGCGTGCTGTAGATATCCGGTAAGTGGTTGCTTGAACAGCACACCGTTGCAGTATTTCCGTGATGTCTTTGTCTCTCAGTCGCATTACTGTGTCTCTGGTGCACGCCTGGCGCCGAATTCTTTCGACGCTGACCCGTGTTCTATCTTTGCTGACCTGCATCGTATGGCATGCTACCGCTGTCGTATGTTCGCTGATTGTGTTGTATTTTCGACGCTCATGTCGAATCTCGTTGAGCCGTGGCGTATTTCTGGCGACCCGTGTCGCATCCCCAGTGACCCATGTCGTATCTCCGGTGACCCGTGTCACATCGCTGGTGCCCCGTGTCGTATCTCCGGTGACCCGTGTCGTATCTTCAGTGACCCGTGTCGTAGCGCTGGTGGCCCGAGTTGTATCTCCAGTAGCCCGTGTCGTATCTTCGGTGACCTGACCACCCTCTTGCGAGCAGAAGCTGTGGACGGACCTGGCGCTGCACTACAACGGCGCCCTGAGCGGCAAACACAGCTCTCGACCTGCCCGACCGCTGCTCTCGGTACGCTCGAGGTCGCCGACCCCCCCCCCCCCCCCCCCTCTCCCTCTGCCTCGTTTCGCTCAGTGCGGCCTGGCTCGCGCGGCCACGGTCCGTGTCGGCGGCGGCGCTGGCTGTGGAGCGGCGTGGTGCGATCGCACGGCGTAGGTATGTGCGGAGTGCTCGGCACCGCCGGGTGGTGAGCAACACTGACACCGCGCGAGGCGGTCCCGAGGTCCTGGCGTTTCGGTGCCGCCCGGCCGGGCAGCGCCGCGCCTCGATGGGAGGGCCTCGGAGCGAGTGGAGCGGCGTGTCGGACGGCGGTGACGGAGCCGTGTTTGGCTGCCGGCGAGGGGACGCCCCATCTCAGCCGAAAGCGCACCGTCTTGTGGCCCCGAACTGATGATACTGAGCCCGAACTGCGGCCCTGATCTGAGATGATGATGGCTGAAGTGCTGATGCTCGTCAGCGACTTGGCTGTTTGCGCGAGCGACGGCTCGAGGATAGGCCAGCTTCTGACAGCCATACAACACTAACCCACGCGATTAACTACTGGCACTATGATGTCGCGACACTGCGTCGCTGTCGTGACGTTGGCCGATGTCGCGCGGCCGCAGGTGACCATGATGTCGCTGGTGATGATGCCGCAGGTGACCATGATGTCGCTGGTGATGATGCCGCAGGTGATCATGATGTCGCTGTGGCTGCTGAACTCGAAGGAGTTTTTCCGAGCGGCGGCGCAGCGGTTTGACGTGCCTGTCAGCGGCCTGTTCGAGGCCTTCGGCCACTTCTGCTCCATGGTGGTGGCGTGCTATGGACCGCTCATCGCGTGGCCAGACCGGACCGAGGTGGGTGGACCTTGACGTCACTATGACGTGACCGTGACGTTGCCATGCTGCGTGATGTCGCTGTGTTGTTTGTGGTGCTGTGCGCCGTGACGTCACAGTGACGTCGTTTTTGAGACACGGTGCTGCTGTGGAGTAGTGTTGACATGCTGTTGTGTCAGAATGATCGATGGAACGTTGGAAGACATGTGATGACCTCAGTGCCTGCGTGCTCTTTGCCCAGTGATGTCTTAAGTTATCTCTCTCTCCAGATGGGAGCCATTTTCAGTCTGTACCATGCTGCAATAGACCCTCTCTCTCTCTCTCCTCTCTCTCTCTCTCTCTCTCTCTCCTCTCTCTCAGCTCCTCTCTCTCTCTCTCTCTCTCTCTCTCTCTCTCTCTCTCTCTCCTCTCTCTCTCTCTCTCTCTCTCTCTCTCTCTCTCTATCTCTCATCTCTCTCTCTTCGCTCTCCGCTCTCGCTCTCGCTCTCGCTCTCGCTCTCGCTCTCGCTCTCGCTCTCGCTCCTCGCCTCTCGCTCTCGCTCTCGCTACTCGCTCTCGCTCTCGCTCTCGCTCTCGCTCTCGCTCTCGCTCTCGCTCTCGCTCTCGCTCTCGCTCTCGCTCTCGCTCTCGCTCTCGCTCTCGCTCTCGCTCTCGCTCTCGCTCTCGATCTCGCTCTCGCTCTCGCTCTCTCTCTCTCTCTCTACTCTCTCTCTCTCTCTCTCTCTCTCTCTCTCCTCTCTCCCTCTCTCTCCCTCTCTCTCTCTCTCTCTCTCTCCTCTCTCTCCTCTCTCTTTCTCTCTCTCTCTCGCCTGTCTGTCTGTCTGTCTGTCTGTATTTGGGTCACCTGCACAGACAGGGATTATGCGTATCAGTTTCAGTCAAACACAGACGGTGTATTCGACCGGAGCGCCGTCCTTTGGTCAGATGCCGCCAGTGCCGCCGACTCAGGGGCCCGATGCGCTCAGATCTCATCACTGTGCACTGCGATTTTAAGTGACCAGTGCAGCTCTCTGTGTTCAGATCCCATCAGTGCAGCTCTCTGTGTCCAGATCACACCAGTGTAGCCCTCTGTGTCCAGATTCCACCAGCGCAGCCCTCTGTGTCCAGATCACACCAGTGCAGCCCTCTGTATCCAGATCACACCAGTGTAGCCCTCTGTGTCCAGATCACACCAGTGCAGCCCTCTGTATCCAGATCACACCAGTGTAGCCCTCTGTGTCCAGATTCCACCAGCGCAGCCCTCTGTGTCCAGATCCCACCAGTGCAGCCCTCTGTATCCAGATCACACCAGTGCAGCCCTCTGTGTCCAGATCCCACCAGTGCAGCCCTCTGTATCCAGATCCCACCAGCGCAGCCCTCTGTGTCCAGATCCCACCAGTGCAGCCCTCTGTATCCAGATCCCACCAGCGCAGCCCTCTGTGTCCAGATCCCACCAGTGCAGCCCTCTGTTTCCAGATCCCACCAGCTGCAGCCCTCTGTATCCAGATCCCACCAGCGCAGCCCTCTGTGTCCAGATCCCATCAGTGCAGCCCTCTGTGTCCAGATCCCACCAGTGCAACCCTCTGTGTCCAGATCCCATCAGTGCAGCCCTCTGTATCCAGATCCCACCAGCGCAGCCCTCTGTATCCAGATCCCACCAGCGCAGCCCTCTGTGTCCAGATCCCATCAGTGCAGCCCTCTGTGTCCAGATCCCACCAGTGCAACCCTCTGTGTCCAGATCCCACCAGTGCAGCCCTCTGTGTCCAGATCCCACCAGCGCAGCCCTCTGTGTCCAGATCCCATCAGCGCAGCCGCCCTGAGCGGCGCCTGCCGGCCGGAGCCGCTCGGCTCAGCTGACTGGTGTGAGCTGCCGTCGCCAGATGGCGACGGTGCGGGCCGGGTTCCGCCAGCTGACCGGGGTGCCCGCCGTTCTGGGAGCCCTGAGCGTCACCCGCGTGCGCATGTTCCCGTCCAGCGAGGACCGCGAGCGGTACAGGTGAGCGAGCTGTCCCGGCGCCGGCGCCTGCCCTGCGGCGGCCGACGGCGCGCTGTTCTGCTCTGTGTCCGGAGGGGATACTCTGTCGGGACCTTCTGCTCCTAAACCTGACCTGACCTGACCTATTTACCTTCTCGGCGTGGTTTTCTGTTCTTGTGTGAGGCTGCTGAAGGGCCAAATCGAGACTACTCTGGTCTGTAAGTTTGTGGGGGGTTTTTAGTGTAGCATCTTGTCCGGTTGTGATTGCCAGCTTGTGGAGACCAACCCCGGCGTTTGTTGTCCAGTTGTTTGTCCAGTTTGTCCAGCATCTTGTCCGGTTGTGATTGCCAGCTTGTGGAGACCAACCCCGGCGTTTGTTGTCCAGTTGTTTGTCCAGTTTGTCCAGCATCTTGTCCGGTTGTGATTGCCAGCTTGTGGAGACCAACCCCGGCGTTTGTTGTCCAGTTGTTTGTCCAGTGTGTCCAGCATCTTGTCCGGTTGTGATTGCCAGCTTGTGGAGACCAACCCCGGCGTTTGTTGTCCTTTCAGTTTTGCTGACATTTCCTGATTTCTTTTCAGTACTATAGCCTTCCAGTCTCTTCGAAATAGATTGCTATCGTTTTTCAGAATATGTAACCCAGTAAAAATTTTAATCACTCAAACTTGTCTTGTGCCTGTCTTATCCCATATCGTGTAGCTCGGTGCTGTCCGCTATTATCGCGTCATTCCCGTACAGGCATGTTTCCCGACTTCTCCCAGCCCATTTCCATATGGGATTGTTTTGATGTCGTTTCTGTGTGAGTGAAGAGCGTATTAGTGTTGTGTTAACCTGTGTCCAGCCAAAGCCTCACCGCCGCGCCGACCTTTTTCGTCTGATCGCGTTACTTTCAGTTTGTCATGGAGGAGGCTAACCCCAAAGGAGGCTAACCCCAGAGGAGACCAACCCCAGAGGAAACAAACCCCTAAGGAGACTGAGTCCAAAGGAGTCTGACCCCATGAAAGATAAGCCCCTATGGAGACAAATCCTAAGGAGACCCATTCCAGGGGAGACTAACTCCAAGGGAGGCTGACCCCAGTTGGTGTCTGGCCGCCGGGTTCGTCGCTCCTCAGGGGTCAGCCGCTGCCGTCCAGCCTGTCGCTGCTGTCTCCTGACCCTGCTCCGTCCCGCTGACCCAGCCCAGCCCCACTGACCCAGCCCCGTCCCGCCGACCCAGCCCCGCCCCACTGACCCAGGCCCATCCCCCCGGCTCCCTGCAGGGACCAGCTGGGCCACAGCAGCGTGGCCATGCTGGTGGTGTGTGACCACCAGCTGCGGTTCCGGGACGTGTTCGCCGCCTGCCCCGGCAGCTTCAGCAACACCGAGGTAAGTCGGGGCTGCTAGACTTGTCGGGAGTTGTTCTCAGGCTTGAGTCGCGGCCGCCAGACTTGTCCGGAGTTGTTCTCAGGCTTTGATGCGCATGTGCTGGCAGCGAAAGGTGTATGTGGCTGTTTACAGTCAGGCCCGCGCTTTAGGTGGGTGGGAGTCTCTGGCGCTGGCCTGTGGCGAAAGGTGTATGTTCGCGGCTGTTTACAGTCAGGCCTGCGCTTTAGGTGGGTGGGGGTCTCTGGCGCTGGCCTGTGGCGAAAGGTGTATGTTTGCGGCTGTTTACAGTCAGGCCCGCGCTTTAGGTGGGTGGGGGTCTCTGGCGCTGGCCTGTGGCGAAAGGTGTATGTTCGCGGCTGTGTACGGTCAGGCCCGCGCTTTAGGTGGGTGGGGGTCTCTGGCGTCAATCGTTTGCAGGGGGCATGGTGTGATGCTCCCACAAAACGGCGCAGATATGTCCGGTGAAATGGCGCCGGCCGCCAGTGCCTTCAAACGATGCATGGTTGTGGAGCAGTGAGGATCGTCAAGTGCGGTTGCCGACTGGGGGCGCCTCCTTTGTGTGGCGAGCAGGTCGGCAGCTGGGCGGCCGGATAACCAAGGAGTAGTCTGAGGCCTTAAAGGGAGCGCTCCACACTTGGTGGGTTTCGAACTAAGATAGCTATCTTGAAGATCATTCGGTACAGTTCACAGCCCTGCGCTTATTAAGACCTAAACCACTCTAGTTTCTGAGCTACAGGCCCGCGAAGATGGGAGGGCTTTTTCAGGTATTTCAAGATCATATTTCCATTCATGACGTCATAATAGCGTCATTTGAATACCACCATTCCATAAGCCATGCGGCGATCTAGGCCAAGAAAAATAGTATTGTTAAGCCGTTCAAATCTGGTGTTCGTAAGTACGATCACCAGTTTAACGGCCGTGAATTGGCTTTGAATCAATGTTATGCCTGGTGCGACGACGTTATCAAACAATGACGTATGGAGGAGCATATTTACTGAACAGAGAAATTGTGTTGTCTAGAGTAGTCTCTTCTACTTAGAAGCATACCAACAGTGAAAAATGAGCTGGTTTCATCATATCTGAAGCTTGCTTTAATATGTTTCAACATGAACATTTCCTTCAAGACTCGGCGATGGCAGTCTTTCGTCGTTCTAAAGTGATGTCCGATGACTAGCTGAAGTTCCGTCATGAGGTGGCAGGCGAAGTACTCTGAAGGCCAAAACATTCAAACGTTATAATTTTCACTGCCTTAGGGGGAACGCGAGCTCCACCCGCCACCGCCACGCCCACCCTCATGGCGGTATCTGCCCTCCCCCTACCAGGTGTTGCTGAGTACGCCCCTGTACAGCCATCTCCAGGACGCCGCCGAGCGCGCCACCTTGCTGCCGGACCGGACGGTGCTGATTGGCCACGGCGGCTTGCCGCTGACAAGCTGGCTGATGCGGCCGTACGGCGGTGGCGAGACGCTGACCGCCGCGCAGGAGCGGCTCCAGGACGGCCTCCGGCGGGGCAGCCGGGTCAGACGGGGACCGACTCGCTTTGCCCCTGAAAAACACTGCCTCGGGCAGGACGACGGCGACGCTGGGGAGAGATGCGTGCCGTTAATGGCCTTTAAATTTAACATGGCGCCTATGCTTTTGCATGGAAACAGTAGACAAAGATACTGGCCTTGGCTGAGCGCTTGAAGACGGAGTGGTGCCGGGGTCGAGTGCCTGGCTGGCGATCGCGATGTTGTCGGTTCGAAGCTTCGCTCTGGCTGTTTTTTGTTTTTGTACGTTGGGCGTGAGCGACGGCTAAATTGGTGGCGTCTCTGCTGACGGCTGCCTCCTTCCCTCCGGCCGGTGTCAGCTGGTGAACCAGGCTCTGGGTTACCTCCACTGACGGCTGCCTCCCTCCCTCCGGCCGGTGTCAGCTGGCGGACCAGGCTCTGGGTTACCTCCGCTGCCGGTTTGCGCGGCTCGGCTGCGGCAATGTCAAGCGTGTGGACCGCGTCAGCCAAATGTTCCTGTGCTGCTGCCTGCTGCACAACCTGGAGCTGCAGCTGGAGGGGGACCAGGCGATGGGGTGAGAGGCGGGGGAGCAGTCGGAGAGGCGCACGACACAGGCTCGGGCCGCCGTGGGTCACTGCAGAGGATTTGGGTGAGGCGGAACAGCTAAGCAACAGGATGAGCGATGCCGGGAAGGGAAGATGAAGGGACGTGGCTTGGACGACGTGGCACGTGGCGTGAAGGGACGCAGATGAAGGGACGTGGCTGGCAAAACACCACGCGCAGCGGGGCAGGCGCAGTCCTTGCGCGACACACTGTAGGCACCGTAGTCTTTGCGCGCCACATTGTAGGTACCGACAGTGTGTCTGTAGGTACCGACAGTGGTAATAGTCCCGTTCCTTGTAGAAGAAATAGGAGAATGCAGATATAGATGTATCAATGTTTCGGCAACACGTCTTTATCGAATCGAATAACGGAAGTAAATTTGCCGTTTTTCTGGTGTACCTCCAATATTTGATTCTAATTGGTATATTTATGAGTCGTCAAAAATCTCACCAATTTACCTCTGCGATTTGTTTCGATAAAAGCACGGTGCCGAAATATTAACGCACCTATATTTCCATTCTCCCGGTGTTTCTACGGCTCGGCTATTACCGCTATAACGACTTACTTGACCCGCCGCAAGCGTGCATCCAGACACAGGTTTACACACAGCGGGGAACTGAGCTGAAAATACTATTATGCTGCGACAAAGTTGGTGTAGAAAGGTAGTCTTTCAACCAGGTGGTTGGCACTGAGTGGTAGCTTTAGCGGAGAGATGTGGGTGGACCGCAGAACATACGGCAGAGCACACAGCGCACTGTCGTGGCAGGTGAAGACGGAAGGCGGAGGCAGAAGAGCCGTTTTCCAGGTCTTGGACTGAAACAGTTGGTACTGAATGTCATGGGTCAGGTGCATTTCACGTTGCACGTGGGATGGTGTGGGCAGATTGACCAGGGATTGGATTGGAGATTGGGATATCAGCTTTCTGTCATTGAGTGGTTGATATTTTCACATGGTGGAGGTTTCGAAACGAATGTCAGTTACTACGAAGCCAGTTACTTGCGCTGACTATGAAGGTATCATTTATTTCGTATTCATCTCCAGGCATTTGCGAGCGTCCCTTTAACCTCATTGGAAGATGACCCACACTGTTGCCACCTACCGGCGTCGCTTACAACCTGAGATTCTTTGCACACGGCGCTGGCAGCGGCCGCAGTGGGGGGGGGGGGGGGGCGCCTGGTCTCGGCCGCGTGCCCTGTCAGCCTGCAGTGCCACCCCGCCCCCCGCCGGAGGTCCGGCGTCTGGCGAGCGTGCCGCCGTGTGGACGCGGTCTGCAGCTCCGTCCCTGCCGTCAGGGGCCTGGTGGAGGTGGAGGAGCCGGAGGGCCTGCAGGAGGCCGTGCAGTGGACTCCGCATGACGAGGACACTGGCCGCCGGGAGCAGCTGGCCGCCGACATGCTTGAGCCGTTGGTGTGACGTCACGTCCGCTGGTGTAATGTCACGCCAGCGGATGTGACGGCGTTTCGAGGTTTGCACTGGCCTGAGCCGTTGGTGTGACGTCACGTCCGCTGGTGTGACGTCACGCCAGCGGATGTGACGGCGTTTCGAGGTTGGCACTGGCGTCGAGTCGAGCCGCGCTGAGGACTGCCGTGGCGCTGTGGCGCGTGCTGGCGGCGGGGGTGTGATGTGCAGACTCGATGTGAACTGTTCTGCCGGTAGCCGGGACGGAGCTTTCGCCGTTTTCCAGTCTTGACCTGACCTGTATCTTGACGTGGTCTTGACCTGACCTGTATATTGACGTGGTCTTGACCTGACCTGTATCTTGACGTGGTCTTGACCTGACCTGTATCGTGACGTGGTCTGTTCTACTGTCCGAGAGTAAAAAGGCCCAGTGCTATGTTGACTAATGGCTCTCAGGCCTTTTTGTCTTTCGATGACGGCTTGTTATGTGTACCGCCATGTTCTATCATGTTTGGTCTTGACCCGTCCCATCTTGTTATGTGTACCGCCATGTTCTGTCATGTTTGGTCTTGACCCGTCCCATCTTGTTATGTGTACCGCCATGTTCTATCATGTTTGGTCTTGACCCGTCCCATCTTGTTATGTGTACCGCCATGTTCTATCATGTTTGGTCTTGACCCGTCCCATCTTGTTATGTGTACCGCCATGTTCTATCATGTTTGGTCTTGACCCGTCCCATCTTGTTATGTGTACCGCCATGTTCTATCATGTTTGGTCTTGGCCCGTCCCATCTTGTTATGTGTACCGCCATGTTCTATCATGTTTGGTCTTGACCCGTCCCATCTTGCTCCGTGCATACGATCTGTGCCCTGTCCTGCCCTCCTCTGCCCCTGCCCTGCCCTGCCCTGCCCTGCCCTGCCTGCCCTGCCCTGCCCTGCCCTGCCCTGCCCTGCCCTGCCCTGTCGGTGACGGCACGCCTCACGCCCGTCTGGAACTGTTCGCCTCTGGAGTGACTCCTGTGAACTAGCCTGCCCAAGCGGGCCACACCGCCGCCTCGTGTTCTCAGTCGGACCGAATCTGGGTGGCATTCTGGACGCCATGAATATCTGCTGTGAACACATGTAACATGTTACACGAGAGGAACAAGTACAAATACAGAGGATGGGAGAGCGGTGGTTTGGTAAGCGTGGAGTTTGATATGCGAACGCAAGCGTTTTCGACGGGCCGGAAGACGCATTATGTGCCGGTTCGCCGGGGTTTGGTCGGCGCTGGAGTGAAGGCTCTCGATGAGGGGACGCGGTGGGATGGCGGGCTGATGTGGCGCGCGCTGGCTAGCTACAGTTGCTAGCTAGCACACTTCGTCTGGGCACTGACTGAACGACTGACTGGGCACTGTTCAGTCACTGACTGGACGACGAGTTGGCGGGATCTGACGAGCGCGTCTCCCCCCCCCCCCCCCCATCCCCATCCCACCCCACATTTGAATTTGGATGCTACGCCAATCGCGTTTGGTGTTGTTTGGAGAGAATAGACCTTAAGTGGCCTCCCATTCTAAAAAAGAAACGAGCCGCTGGTGCCTGCCTTGCCTACGTATGGACTTGTTGGGTTAGCTGTCAGGTTGGCTGTTAGCGCCCCGGCGGCGCTGACCGGGTTTGGTACAGTGGACCAGTATGGACTAGTTAGGTTAGATGTCAGGTCGGCTGTTAGCACCCCGGCTGCCCCGGTTTGGTACAGTGGATCAGTTATGCAGTGGTGCAGGGTCATCATGAGGACTCTGCTCGTTAGCTCCATGTTGCTGTTTCCAGGCGCCAAGTGCTCCACGCCAGGTCCGGTGAGGCAGCTTGCGTCGCCGCCTGCCTCGACTGTCCAATAGTTGCGTCACAAGTCCGGAGAGGCAGCTTGCGTCGCCGCCCGCCTCGACTGTCCAATAGTTGCGTACAGTCCGGAGAGGCGGGCCGGAGAGGCACTTGCGTCGCCGCACCCAGCTTGCGTCACAGTCCGGAGAGCTGCTGCCCTCCTCGACTGTCCAATAGTTGCGTCACAAGTCCGGAGAGGCAGCTTGCGTCGCCGCCGCCTCGACTGTCCAATAGTTGCGTCACAGTCACGGAGAGGCAGCTTGCGTCGCGGACCGACTGTCCATAGTTGCGTCACAATCCGGAGAGCAGCTTGCGTCGCCGCCTGCCTCGACTGTCCAATAGTTGCGTCACAAGTCCGGAGAGGCAGCTTGCGTCGCCGCCCGCCTCGACTGTCCAATAGTTGCGTCACAAGTCCGGAGAGGCAGCTTGCGTCGCCGCCCGCCTCGACTGTCCAATAGTTGCGTCACAAGTCCGGAGAGGCAGCTTGCGTCGCCGCCCGCCTCGACTGTCCAATAGTTGCGTCACAAGTCCGGAGAGGCAGCTTGCGTCGCCGCCCGCCTCGACTGTCCAATAGTTGCGTCACAAGTCCGGAGAGGCAGCTTGCGTCGCCGCCCGCCTCGACTGTCCAATAGTTGCGTCACAAGTCCGGAGAGGCAGCTTGCGTCGCCGCCTGCCTCGACTGTCCAATAGTTGCGTCACAAGTCCGGAGAGGCAGCTTGCGTCGCCGCCCGCCTCGACTGTCCAATAGTTGCGCCACTCGCTCAGCGTGTGTTCGGTCTGAAATGAACGTGAGCAAAATATTTGGAAGTGAAAAGGATATGTTGTCTTCTCAACGCTGCCTATGGTGTCCGGTCTCCAGTCTTCATCCGGAGACTCATTTGCAGATGGTTGGGGAGACAGCACAACAAGATGAAACAAATTCTTCAGAACGATCTTCTTGCGCGTCCCAGCTATCCTTGCGGAGAGACTGAGAAGCTTTGCTGGAATCGATCAAGCAATTCTCACAGGCAGTGCAATGCAATCAGACGCAACGCACAAGCGTAATCCTCGCACTCACCAACATGCGCTCCAACATCGACACCAGACACCGCGCACATGCCGCCGTCGGATTCCCTTCAATATGTACGCACTTGTCTTTGGTCGAAAAGGATAATTTGAGAAGTTCGTGCGGTGTCGAGGCGAATGTTGTTTCCGCACACCGGGCCCCGCTTAGCTCCTTGGTTTCCGCTTGAAGACGGCGTGGACTTCCCGCTGGCTTGTGTTTGTGCCGGCGTGGACTGCCCACTGGCTTGTGTTTGATGTAAATGGGTCACCTCGCGTCATATCGATCAGGTTCCTCCTTCATCCTCTATGATTTCGAGACGATTTACTGGGCATTAAGATCCGTGCAGAAGATCACAACAGTGGGCAAAGCATTTTCTGCAGCGCTGTAAAAAATTCAGAGGCAGCCGTCAATGACCTTCAACTGAAATGTAAAAAGAGTGGAGAAGATTGTTAGTTACAAAAGACAAATTTTCTGACGTAGTCCATCGCTAATCAATGGGATAAAGGACGAGCGAGTGGGTCCGATGGCAGCGCTGAACTGACTGAGGGGCAATGGACGAGCGAGTGGGTCCGATGGCAGTGCTAAACTGACTGAGGGGCAATGGACGAGCGAGCGGGTCCGATGGCAGTGCTAAACCGACTGAGGAGTGAAGGAAGAGCGAGCGGGTCCGATGACAGTGCTAAACAGATTGAGGGGTAAAGGAAGAGCGAGCGGGTCCGATGATAGTGCTAAACAGACTGAGGAGTAAAGGACGAGCGAGCGGGTCCGATGGCAGTGCTAAGCAGACTGAGGGGTAAAGGACGAGCGAGCGGGTTCGATGGCAGTGCTAAACAGACTGAGGGGTAAAGGAAGAGCGAGCGGGTCCGATGATAGTGCTAAACAGACTGAGGAGTAAAGGACGAGCGAGCGGGTCCGATGGCAGTGCTAAGCAGACTGAGGGGTAAAGGACGAGCGAGCGGGTTCGATGGCAGTGCTAAACAGACTGAGGGGTAAAGGAAGAGCGAGCGGGTCCGATGGCAGTGCCAAACCGACTGAGGAGTAAAGGACGAGCGAGTGAGTCCTATGGTACCTCCGACTGAGGACGAGCGGGCGGGTCCGATGGCAGTGCTAAACAGACTGAGGAGTAAAGAACGAGCGGGCGGGTCCGATGGCAGTACTACCCCAACTGAGGTCTCGGCTAACCATCGGTAGCGCAGCTGCCGCCGGTTGGAGCTGGGGACCGCAGCTGCCGCCGGTTGGAGCTGGGGACCACAGCTGCCGCCGGTTGGAGCTGGGGACCGCAGCTGCCGCCGGTTGGAGCGTCAGGTCATTGGGCTGGTAACCAGGATGCAACGACGATTAGTGTGGATAGTGGATTCTAAGAGTTGTTCCCTCATGGAAAGAGACTGGGATTTCGCGGTGTGTTCCACCGGCACATCGATGCCAAGACGGTAGCCGGGCCAGTGTCGGCTTGTCGCGGTGAGCATGAGTAAGCCGCCCTGCCGGGGTGTGCTTAGATATTTGTCGGCATCGTGACCTGCTCGTTGAAAAGGTGTCTGAGGCAATATATCGTGTCTCCCGTGCAGCTTTCGAAACAGCGCTGGCATGCAATTTCATGACCGATGTCCTCCCGGGTACAGCAACCCGCCAGACTCCTTTGACAGGCATGGCAAGTCTTCCTGGAGTTCTTGCAGAGCGAGATTTCCAGTGCCGAGCCTACCAACGGTCTTCAGAGTGGCCGGCCGTCTTTCAGGCTCGGTTCAGCTGTAGGGGGGGGGGGGGCATGACTACATGGTGCTCGATTGTTGCTCCTTGGCTAGGTTGTCATTGATGAAAGGTAATCTCATTGCAGGTATCGTAGGCATCTTAGGCGCCATCTTGTTTTGTCAATGTCTGGCTATCTGCTCGTCGAATGAGTCAGCCATGCCACGTCTGACGTGGTGTGCGAAAGAGTCAGAGTCTTCAGAGTCTAGAGCCTTCCTGATTCAACTGCGTCAGGTCAGTAGAGTCAGGCATGGCACAAAGCGTAGCCAGTGACTAAACCTAGTACAAATTTGTCATTGCTTCTTGGCTTCGTGACGAGTATGGCAAAACTCCCAGAAAACGGCTATTGCTATGCAAAATGTTGAGATCGATTGTCCTTATCACAACAGAAGCTGGTGTGGCCCCAGGCCTTGTTTTCTGCAGCATATTTTGGCATTATCGTCATGGTGTGGTAGAGGTGACATATAGGACCCTTGATAACTGTGCCCAAACTCAGACTGATGTCATCCTCCGAGTTGGTAAGCTGAATCAAATGGCGCAGTTATGGTGTCCGTGATTGGCTTGATTAGCGATCATGTGCTGTTATGTTCGATTCGTCCGATCGCAGTCGTATAATTTCACCTGGAAGTTGGCGGTGTTATTATAAATGGAAGATGCGCTCACGCATGAGTACCCTTGATGACGAATATTATCCTAATATGATGTGTGTCGGCGATGCTGACAAAAACACGAAGTGCCCATCCAACTACGGGCATGCAATGGGGCCTGGTAGGTCTGAGAAGGGTCATGTCAACTTCCGTGGAAAAAGGCATTCTTTCATCATTTCGTCTTTCCAAAGTGTGCCTTTTGGCATTTTTGTCACAGCAGTCGGTCCACGTGCATCATAGCAGTCCAGTCCACGTGCATCACAGTAGTCCAGTCCACGTTCATCACAGTAGTCCGGTTCATCAATCGTGCATCCAATGACAGAGAGAGAGAGAGAGAGAGAGAGAGAGAGAAGAGAGAGAGAGAGAGAGAGAGAGAGAGAGAGAGGGGAGAGAGAGGGAGAGAGAGAGGGAGGAGAGAGAGAGGGAGAGAGGGAGAGAGAGAGGGAGGAGAGAGGGAGGGAGAGAGAGGGAGAGAGGGAGGAGACAGAGAGAGAGAGAGAGAGAGAGAGAGAGAGAGAGAGAGAGAGAGAGAGAGAGACGCGCCTTGCATCCACACCCAAAGCGTCATCGATGGACAGCTGTTTGGCTGCGAACCTCATGGCTGGCGAAGGAGTCCCTTCCATGGAGCCATGACGATGACAGTGACGGTCGAGCTACGTGGCTAACTACGGCTCCGCCTGTTGTTGAAAAGTGACCCTGTTGACTGAACCTCATGGCTGGCGAAGGAGTCCCTTCCATGGAACCATGACGATGACAGTGGCGGTCGAGCTACGCGGCTAACTACGGCTCCGCCTGTTGTTGGAAAGTGACCTTGTTGACCGAACCTCAGCAAGTTGCTTGCAGGGCGGAGCTCGCGTTCGGCATCAGCAACGGACAGAACA